TGCTGAACGAGCGAAATTTATTATAGCCCGAACTCGGTACTTTGCTTTTTCCGGTTTTTGCATACATTTACATTGAACTGATAAAGTCTCAAAACAACACCTTAGGCAAGTATTGTTAAAGAATTATCGTATTGAATGTATTGAAATTTAAATCAATTAAATTGCTTATGTTAAGTAATTTATTGCTGTTTAAATAAGCTGTCGACTTTTAGTATGTGATTGGTTTTTCAGACGGCATTAAGACAGCTGCTCTCAAAATGGAAGTTGATTCTTTTAATGAACTAGAAGCTTGTGGAGTGCACCGAATAGCCATTCCACCTAAAACAACCACTAAGTGGAGTAGCTGCAGCATGTAGAGAAGTTAAATATCCTCAAGTAGCATTCAGGAGTGGTTTCAGACTGGACGTGGATCAATCAGGCGACTACTTTAGTGTTGGGTCGATCTGTCATGATGAAGTAGGGGCTCAGCGGTAATGCGAAGCTGTCTGTTTACTCATGCTTTCACCTATGATAAAGTTGTACAGTGACAGAGGGTGTGATTACAGATAAATGCCTGAAAGTGAAGCGCCTTCGAAAGGCTGCTTTGACAAGGTTGGCAAATTGGCTAGTGGACAAGGCTGCTTTTGACGAGTTGGCATCCTCACCTATGAACCGTTTATAACTCTGATTGGAAGATCGCAATTGTGATGTTTTAAATATGCGCGGAAAACTCGCAAGATAAGCTATCATTGAAAAGTCACATGGAAGATGACCAAGGGATAGGCGTGGTTATATGAAGGACCTCACGCTATCGATCCTTGGAATTTAGTTTACCGGCGAAGGACCAAGGTCATTGGTAAAACCTCTTAGAGTAGATATTCTCGCTATAAAAAACATAAATTTAAACGAAAAGAGCGGGGATTGGAAAGCAATGAATGAACGAATGTCTTAGTACAGAGTCAAGTCTCTGAGTCAAGCTAACTAATTTTAATCAGAGAATTAAATCTCACTGTTATTTAGTTGCTTGTGAAGGCACATGCAACTGATTCTGGTGGTTACTGCTACTTAGGGTACTAGTAAACAAATATATCTTCTCGTTATAATGTAGATTTTAATGCCATTATTTACCGCTTTGATAACTGTGCTGTTAAAATGATGCTCTAGCCTTAGATAATGATGACAACAACAGTGACGGTAACTTGTAAAATGGTGCACAAAAGTATATTGATTAGTCTGAAAGTTGACAAGTTAGTTAAGTTGCTCTATGGGGCCTTTCGATTGCCTCATCAAATACAAGGATCTATTAGACCGGTTAAGTCTAACTAATAATGAGTTTAAGTAATAAGTTTAAGAGTAATAGGTCTAGCAGTAATTTTACTATTCCTTTCTTGCCGAAAATGTTTGAGCGAATCCCAGCACTATCGCCAACTTGATATTAAAGTTTAGAATGACATAATGAGTGGTTGAAATTAAGCTCTAAGTTTACATTTGATGTTAATCTCATGCTAAATTGCCATTTACTTCAAATTTGTTTATTTTTGTCTATAAAAGCGGCTTGCTGCCTGTAACACTGTGTGTTGCGAAATGCGTTGGAAATCAATTGATATCTGCGCTGTTTTGTGACCTCCGCCATGAATCAGCAAACCATCCACAAGTCCAAAGCTGTTCAGTAAATACGACCCAAACATATTTTTAAAGTCCCTAATGTACATTAGGTATTTAACAAAAGATTTGAATTTCGTCATTGAATGCTGTCTGTTGAACTTGTCTGTCTATTACAGAAATGACAATAATTGTAACTTCATTTATAATAGACAACAACCAAATTGTTGACATCTTGTGCTGATTTATCACTCCGAATAGTCAGCTGTCAGAAGGGTCAAGACGAATGGAAGCCCTAAAGGTTGTCCACGTCAGACAACATGGCCGCACTTCTCTGCCGCTCTGGCATGACGGCACTGTGGCACCATGCAGCCCCTATTGTACACAAGTCGACGACCTGCTTTCCACTATGCTTTCCAATTTTGGCTGGTTGCTCGAACAGGGGGAGAGTTCTTTTCTCAGTGGCATTGGTGGTTAACAAAATTTATTTCTATTTTTCGGAATTCGAACTCATTACCTCTAGAATTCGAAGTCGACCACTATGTTATCGCGCCTCATACTGGGAAAAGGCCTCGTTTACATTCCGTCAAGTTATGGTAAATCATTGCCTGAGGCCGCCGTGAATAAATATCATATGAATTCTAGCAACCTTCCCTGTGGTTGACAGCAGCGAGTTGTTGATTGATAGCGAAATGAATATGATCAAGAAATCGTTTCTTATCTTATTAAATAGCGCTAGACTACTCCGTCCCGACGCCTTATGCATTTAATTTGATATTTCTAAGGAATCGAAATTAGTCTCTTATCTAATAGAAACTGGCTCTCAAATTTGTTATAATTAGTTCGACTCTGTATTGCGTCTGAGCTTTCGTTTTACTCTAGGGAAGACTGTTGCTGCATGGATGAAGGTGGTAGTAAGTTTTTGTTTATTGTCCATATTGCACCAGTTTCTGCAGGGTGCCCCAAACCCATTGAACCAGATGGTTGCTGGCAATTAATGTAATTATTGTATTACATAGTTTAATCATTGCCGCCGTTCCAGTACAAGGGCTACAGTCTTCCTCTTTATTATGAACCCAACGCTGCCAGTTCGTGCTCGCATAGCATCGCGCTACAAGTTCGACAGATGTTCAGGTTTCACATATTCTAATCCTGTCCGCCATGATCTTCTCCTTTTCCTCGAGAAAGTCGTCGGTAAATGTATATCAGTAGCGTTTTTGACCACAAAGATTTTAATGATATTCAGGTGCCGTTTACCAGTCGCATCCTGTGGTTTACTTCGTCGTAGGTGTTGTTCAGGCTGACGCATTTTTCCAGTTTCCATATATCTTTCAGTGTTTTTCGTTGAGTAATTGTTTGGCAATTCATCAGGGTGCCAACCTTCATGAACCATTGTTAACATCTGCCCAACCTTCATCCACCCTAACGGATTCAGACGAACGGAGCACTTAGTGAGGCTTTGGTCACGGAAAGATATCATTGATATCATTGGGCAGCATCACTGCCTCAGCCTACTGGAGCGAGCTCCCGCACCACTTCCAGGCCCTCACTAGCAAAAAATTTATAATTAATTAGTATAATTATTGTTATGTTTCGAAAATCACGAACGGGAAAATAACGCGTATGATCTTTAGTTGCAATCAGTTTATAGAGAAACTGACATTTTGAATCATATTCAGTCCGACTTCAGCGGTTAAAGCAAGTTTTGCGCGGAAA